TAGCAGTGCATGCCTTGGATAGTTAGTATTCGGGAAGATCAGGAGGTCAGGACCACTCGGATCCATAGGAAGCTTGAGGTCAGCCCAAAGCATGGGAGACACTGCCACAAAAAGATCAAAACAAGCAGGACATAGCAATGACGATTTTGAAGGCAGCCTGAGCATCCTAGTAATTTCATGTCTAGCCTAGATCACATGAAACCCTATTGAAAAACACGGGGAAAGCCAGGTATGATTGTGTAACACCTTCAATCCCAGTACTCGAGGCAGAGTCAGGCAAGTCTCTTGAGTTCAAGGTCAGCATGGTCTACATAGAGGATTCTATATAGTGACACCCTGTCTCAAAAAGAGAGAGAAAGAGGGCCGGGCATTAGTGGCGCACGCCTTTAATCCCAGCACTGGGGGGGGGGGGGCAGAGGCAGGCGGATCTCTGTGAGTTTACTGGCCTGGTCTACAGAGCAAGTTCCAGGACAGGCTCCAAAACAATACAGAGAAACCCTGCCTTGAAAAACCAAAGATAGGGGGGTGAGAGACAGAGGGAGAGAGAGAGAGAGAGAAGTGTGAGGAGAGGAAAGGAAAAGAAATAAATGTGGTAACTTTTCTTCATTTATTTATTTTTGTAGAACGTTCTTAAGTGCTGGGATTTAAGGCATGTGCTATTACCACCTGGAAATTTTTTTAAGAGGAAAAAAAGGGGGGAAAAAGACATATAGGGACACACATTTTTTGTTTGTTTGTTTGGTTTGGTTTGTTTCCTGAGCATGGAGAAATATGAGGAGCTGGGAGACACAGGAGGAAGAGGCTTGTCTTCAGTACCCAGCAGAGCCTGGACCTATGAGGCAGGATGCTGGGTGGCAGAGCTCTGGATCAACACTGAGTTGGCAAAGCACACACCTCAACCAAAAGCAGGAATGGTCATGCTGAGTCTGTACCTGTGGCCACTGAGGAAGGAGTCTAGGAGGCACGTGGTCCTTGTGACCAGGCAGAATCCAGAAGATAAAGTGGAACTGGGAACCTCGGAGACTGCAGAGAGAGGGAGGGTCCTGGGACCTGCGCATGGGATGCTACATGCCTCAGGGAGCCCAGAGCACATGTGGGTAGTAGCTATGAGGGTCTGTCCAGGAGCCTGAGGGAGGACAGCCCAGAGAAGGGAAGAGCATTCTGGTCTAGGGCTGGCTGAGGTGAAGCTGTTTACCTCTGCTGAGGCCTTCTTCCTGAGCTGTTTATTAAGATGAGGTGGGTTAGTGGGTAGTGACAAGGGAATGTGTGAGGAATTGAGATGTTGGGAAGAGAGTGTATTAATGAGAAAGGAACTAATGGCTTCTTCCACATAGCTGCTCTGTTTGGGGAAACCCTGTTATTGTTGTTGTTGGTTTGAGACAGGGTCTTAGCTGTCTTGGAACTCACTCTGTAGACCAGGCTGGACTCAAAGCCACAGAGATCCACCTGCCTCTGCCTCCCGAGTCCTAGAATTACAGGCGTGTGTCACCATCGCCCAGCTGGAGAAACCCTTCTTGAGTAAAGCGTAGAGAACAACTTCGACTCTATATATGAACAGGACTCCATGCTCCAAAGATGGTTCTGAGCACAGGCTCTGGGACATAATAATATACCTAAGTCCTGTGTGATGGGGACACTGCCTGGCCTCAAGCTGCCCCGCCCATGAGGAGAGTCTCCTAGGCAGAAATCCTTAGCTTCATTTACCATACCAGTGTAAATACACTCTGAGAAATAAGCTCAGTGAGTGCCTGATGCCTAATTCACACTCCGGGGCCGAGATCGGAGAAAGCACCATGGTCACATCTGTCATGTAGGGGGACATTTATTATGCACACTCCGGCCACCTTGTCTGCCTGAAACCTCAAAGTGTCCCTGAAGTGCCCTCATGATCTTCAGCTCTGGCTCTGACAGGTCTAGCCTGGCCCGGCCACTAGCCGGAGATTAGACAAGTGGATGGTTAATGCCACTGACGTCAAGGCCTGGCTCGATGACCACTGGGAGTTTGGACCCTCCCACAGCAGCAGCACAGTCCATGTGACCTGGGCTCATTAAGCTGCTTCAGTGGCCAGAGAAGCTAGGGGCCAGATCTCAGAGAAGAGGGCAGGCATGCCAGACCGCGGGAACCAGGCCTTGGCTGGGAGGCCACCAGCTCTAGGGGCCCAAGCTGGGGACATATAAATAGGATCACCTATGGATCACTGCCCTACCTACTTCTACATTCTATAATGTTCCCAAAGAGCAGCCTCCTGGGCACTGAACAATGAGCCAGTGTTATCAGGAGCATGGGTCTGGTCTTCTACCCTGGAGTGTAAAACAGGAGTCCCCTCTGCCCTGAAACCCCTGAATCCCCAACATGCCTCCTTAACAAGTATCTCACCCCTGCACATGGCCAGGAGTCTACGAGCACTGATCCCATCATGTACCAGTCTCTCCCTGGAGTTTCCTTTCTCTTCCAACCCTGGGCTGCCCCCTCTCTCCCCTGGGCTGAGTCTGGCCCCCAGGCTGCTCCTCCACTGGGCTCTCAATCACTTGTGCGCTCATTCTGCGCCATTCCTCCTCGAGATGCCCTATGGAGACCATGAAGATGCTGAGGCTGCGCCTGCGGGGAGGGCAGTTGATTGGGTGGCCGCTGCCAGCTCTGGAATGGCTGGTTCTTTGTCGATCTGGGCAGTGCTCTCAGGGGTGGTCACCTTTGGGTGCTATAGGACAAATCAGAGGCTGACAAGGATGTATGACGGTGAGGATCTCAAATCAGGGAGGCACAAGGGCAGAGGCACAGGAGCCTGAGGTCTGGCATGTTCTAGGAACAGTAGGGCCGTGTGTGGTCAGCCAGGCTACGTGTGGAGGAATGGCTGACCAGGGGCAGGTTTGGAGGAGGGGAGTGTGAGGGAGGGGCCTGCAGGTATCCATGCAACCCGTGGACCCAAGGACTAGGTTAGAGGTGAACACAGGGTGACTGTTGGAAAGGGTCTCAAGGAACCGAGCAGAGTGGGTTTTCTGAAGAGGCTGCCCCAGGAGAGGCTGGATAGGCTAGGGCTGAGAAGAGCAAAGGGCCTTGGAAGGAGGGCCTATAAGATCCTAGGACCCCAAGGTCCATCCCACATGCCTGGCTGCCTTTTAGCCCTGTGTTTGAAATGTGAGGATTAGGGAACGGAGGCAAGAGCTGGGCTGATGCCACAGACAAAGCTCTCCCTCTCTTGGAAGTTACCACCAACACGCAGGCAGTTACATGGGCAGGCATTTCCTCAGACCTCTGGGAGAGGGTGCCTGGCAGCCATCGGTGTCCTAAGGCAGGCTGGGCTGGGAGATTCTGCAGGTGGTGAAAAAGGCCTCGGAGCTCTGTTTACCCTGGCAGGGGTCCAGGCCCAGCAACAACAAACAGTCACCCTTCCCCCGGCTTAGCCATGACTGGCCTTACCCAGGGACCCCCTCATCACACTCCAGTCTTCCCACAGCAGCCCAGCTCAGCAGGTTTCTGGTCCTGTTCAGTTTGGGTGGAGGACCCCAATCCTCACGTGCTGAGAACCTTGAGCCTGGCCTGGGCCCTTGGGAACTGCCAGTTGGTGCCATTACCCCTTGACAAATACCTCCCGTGAGTATCCAAGGCGGTTCTGTCTCATGCCATTTTGTCTCCCCTCTCCCCTCTGGAGGGCTGGGATTGCAGGCATGTGCCGCTCTACCCAGCTCCCTGTGCTGTTTTGGGGTGGGAGTCTAGTGGCTCTTCATGACACGGTAAACTCTGGTCTGACAATTACGTCAACCTCAGCTGAGGATGAAAACTTCCCTTTATCATCTAGCTACCAGAAAAGGAGGCTTGACTTTCGGGGGGGGGGTTTGTCACCATCCCGGAGCTGTTTTGTTTAGTCTCCTAGCTCCCTGGCCCTCCTAGCCAGCATCTAGTCCTAAATTCATGGCTCACAGCTTTCTCCTCTCTCTGGCCTGAGGGAAAGACAGCCATTTCCTTGTGTTACAGAGGGAAACTGAGGCATGCTTCGGCTTGGCTGTGATGGTGCTATGAGTCAGCAAGAAGGGAATCCAGGACTTCTAGGTTTGAGGAGTCCTGACTCCCAGCCTGGGGCAGAAAGGCGGTGAGACCTGGTTTCTGAAGGTCTCCACAGCATCAGGAAGGAGATATGACATCAGGAGGTAGATATGACAGAGGAGCCCAGCTTGGAAAGGAACAGCAGAGGCCATGGAATTAATCGGATCAGAGCCAGTGCTGGGAAGCAAGGGGCACAGCTGCTCCACCCCGCCTCCCTTTATCCTGAAAGTCAACACCCCTCCCCAGCTCCCCACCACACCACCTTCCTCTGAGCTCCAGAGCTCTAGGTGGGAAGCAGGAAAGGTAACACTGACTGCCAGCCAAGAATGAGTCCTCCCTAAAGTCCCTCCTCAAAGGCCTGCCCCCACTTCTGACGGGCAGGCTGACAGAAGTCACTCAATCTTTGAAACAGAATGGAGGACATAGCCAGGCAAGGCCAGAAAAGAGGCAAAGCAATCCCCTTGCTGTCCTCATGTCCTGGCTGTCTCAGCCCATGCCTGCTTCAGCCCCTCTCCCCGCTCCAACCACCACTGGCAAGCAAAGTTTACCAGACATGGTAGAAAAAGGAGTCAAGTCTGAAAGTCGTCCCCATTCAAAGCCCCTAACTGAACTTAAGCCTTGAGGTGTCTCAACTCCTTTCGTTTGAAGATCCCTTGGTGTTTAGAAATACATACGCAAAGTTGCAGGGGTTCCGGGCAGCTACAACCCTCACAAAGATCTCTACTTTGACCTGAACCATCGCCCCGATCCTTCAAGGCTCAAGCGACCCCTCCCCACTCAGGAGCTCCCACCTATAGGCTCCGAGGGCACCGAGGGCATCGACTGCCCCTTTGAGACAAGCTAGCCAGTCCCCTGCTCCTCCCCGACCAGCCCCTCCTCCCTCGGGCAGCCAGGGATTGGCGGGCGGGGGGCGGGCCAGGGGCGGGGCCGGGCACCCTTCATCCCCTGCGGCTGCAGTTGCTGCTGCAGCCCAGCGCTCAGCCTGGAACAGATCGGATCTCACTCTCCGGAGCCGAGCGCCGAACGAACGTGCCCACCACGAGGCCAGGTACGGCCGGGGTTATAGGGCCACCAGCCCAGGGGCGCTGTGCGAATCGAGCCCACTATGCTTTCTCTAGTCCCTACTGGACTTTGGGCAGCTCTCTTCCTACCCCGAGACCCAGGCAGGCGTCTCAGCTTTTCAAGAGTCAGAGCCCTGCGCGCTCCAGGGCGCAGGTTTGAGAGCCTGAGGGTAGGCACCCAGCTCCAAGCTTGCGCTAGGGTGCTGGGAGGGGCACCTCGTCGACTCCGTTTCTTGGCAGACCATGCTGGACAGCAAGTGGACAGCAGCCTCGGGGTTAGGTCCACAGGACACCTAGTTTGAGGCTCAGGAGACCGACTTCCAGAGTCAGGACCCACGGGCACCAGCTAGAGGGTGGCCGGGGCAGACGCTGGAGCGCTGCCCCGACGGGCGCCTGAGAGGCAGATCCACTGGCTGGCACGCCGGCAATCCGGGTATATTTATCCCGGCCTCGCTGGGCAGAGTTTAAGGGCAGATCGGGCCGGGACGCCTGAGGGGCCGCGGGATCCATGCTGGCCCCAGAACCAGTGTCATTTGCAGTGGAGCCAGTGGGAACCGCCTGCTCTGGGTTCCTTTGGTTCTTTGGCCTGAGGGCGGGGCGCTATGGGCACTCCTCTCCACCTGTGGACCTGGCTGGCCCACGAGTGAGAACTAGCCCGGGAGGGAGGTGGGGGGGCCCAAGACTCAGTTTTCATGGTCCCGCCCCTGCTGGGTCGGCTCCTTTCATTGGCTATAGCAAATGTGTACGGTTTATTTACACTAGAGAAGGGGCCAAAGATGAGGCATCTGAGAATCTGCACCCTCCTCTCCCGTGACCCGAGACCTGAATCCAGGTCTGCCTTCCTCACAACGCTAAGGAGGCCTACGTCAAAGGCCCTTGAACCCTGAGGAGTACCTAGAGGATATGTCCATGTGCATTCTTCCTTTAGCCTACCAGTCCTGTTCTTACCTCTGGTACTTAACCCACTTCCCGCCATTGTACATAGTCTGTGATGGGGGCTTATTTTCCGAAGGGAAGCCAGTCCCTTGGAGCACTCATTGTGTGCCAGGGGGTGAGGGTAGAATTCTAGATAAACCCAAGGATAGTTCTGTTTGGAAGTAGGGAACTTCTGCACAGCTGTGGAAATCTTTCCTAGGAAGCCCCACGGTAGAAGGGATTTGGAGTTCATGAGGCCATGCCTGGCACATTTGGGAGAGGTTGGAATGACTGAAACCAGGAAGAGTGATTTCTGACTCCTTGGGTTTGAGCAGGGGACTGTGTCTCCAGGAAGGACGGGACTATGTGTCTCAGCTTTATTCTGCCTGGGTCCATGGGATCCATCTCCTCACTGCCCTGTCAAGCCATCCTGTTGAGTGCCGATTCTTGCTTCAAGCTTGCTGTATGCCACAGTCCACGTCGGCTCCAGATAGCCAGCTGGAAAGAGTTGCTTATTCCTGTAGTATCATTAGCCTAGAAAGTGGCCTTGGAGCCCCACATGAATGGAGAAAACAGGTGCAGTGAAGGCAGGTAGATCATGAACTCTAGACTGGACCCGGAAAAGATATGAAGCTGAATGAGGCATAGGCGGGAAGTCTGGGCTGGGTGTGGGTTGAGGGCAGAACGTTTGCAAGGAAGTGCCTGCTAGGGAGATTCGGTTTAGCATTTGTGTGCACAGAAAGCTGGGATGTGATGTATAGTTTATGCTGCAGTAGGAAGAGGCCCTGAGGGAAGAGGTCTATTGTAGACATCACCAGGGACCAGGCGCCACAGAGTAGGGAAACTGGACTGAGAGCTTACCAAGGGCTTCGAACCCTTCCATTCATTCAGTAATGTAGGTTGAGCACCTACTGTGTGTCTTGCTCACAGTGTGGTGAGTGGAAAAGTACCTAAGAGGCGGGTCTTTGACTTTGGATGGGAAGACAGACACAGGAGGGTGGGTGGGAGCTCTAAAGGACCAGGCAGCACTTGTGGGGGCCAAAGGGAAGGACCAGCTGCTGGGGCAGGAGGGGCTTTCCTGCCAGTGGCCTAGAGTTGCTTGGTTTTGGATTTCCGCTCTGCGGGCCACGTCCTGTACACAGCCTCTCAGCCAGCACGTCTGCACCTGTGTGAGGCCCCTGACAATAGGAGTCACCCCCAGCTGGCCATCGCTTCTGCTGGTCTTTTCCATTATCCAGGTAAATAAGTTTCAGACACCAGCCTCGAGGTCTCTGAGTTTTCTTGTAGAACCTGGCCTTATGACCCTCCTGGACTCGGCTCCACTGACTAACATTGCATCTGGCTGGCGGGGCATAATCTGAATTTGTGGAGAGCTGAAGATGTAACAGTGGCCCTTATGGACCCCTTTTGAGTTCTACCTGGGCACCCTATGGTACCTCTGTACTGGCGCGTGCCTGCCTCCTTCTCTACACGTGGCCATTTTGGCTTCCCTCCCATTTCTGCTCCTTCCAGGGCTCTCTGTCTTTGTTCATGTTTATTAAGACAGAGTTCTACTGCATAACTGTGACTGGTCTGGAACTTGCTGTGTAGACCAGGCTGGCCTCTAACTCACAGAGATCGTCCTGTCTCTGCCTCTGAGTGCTGGGACTTAAGGTTTGTGCCACTCCGTGTGGGGGGTTCTGTCTTTCGCTGGGTGTCTTCTGCTACCATCCCTCTCCATCTCTACCTCTGTACGGTCATCTTTGTTTCTTACTTCCCTCATTGCGTCTTTCTCCTTGTCTGAATATCAAGCCATCTACTTATGGATGGTTTTTGTTTCTCTGTTTTTTTTTTTTTTTTTTTTTTGTCTGTGACCCTCCCTGTATATCCACCCATGTTTCTCTAGCTCCCTGGGCCCCTGTCTGTCTGTCTGGTTGTCTGTCTAGATCAGTACGCATGGGCGCATGTGTGAAATGTGTATGTTTTCTCTTGCATTCTCTCCCCTCAGATCTCTCCCCTCTCTCCCTCCCTCTGCCTCAGTCCTCCTGCCCTAAAGCCTCCCCTCCTGCAAGCTGACCTTGCTTTAGCCCCCCCCCCCATCAGGGTCTACAATGAGTCCCAAACTGCCCCAGGCCTGTGTTCCAGTTTTCCTTGGGGCCAGGAGTCCGGCTGTCCAAATATTTGGCCACCTCCAGGGGATTCCGGGTCGGCAGGGAGGAAGATGGGCTGGCTGGCGCAGGGTCTCCCCAGCCTCTGGGGGGCCACAGTCACGTGATGTCCTGTCCTCTGCCTCAGCAGGACCTCTGGCCTCACGTCCCTCTGAGTCTGAACAAGCTGGCAATGGAGTTGGAGGAGGGACGCTGCTGGCTCCGGCCAGCTTGGGGCAGGAGGCTCTGGCTGTAGTCTCTTTAAGAACCAGCCTGAGCAAAGAGGGTCCAAGTTGAGGTGGGAGAGGAGGCCAAGGTGACTTGTAAGCATCTGCTGGTTGTCTAGGAAATGTCCCCTGTCACAGGAAAGTCTACCTTCCGGTCCCAGCTGGGCTTCTCAGATCCTCCTAGGTACTTCCGGATAGCCAGAACATCAAGACACAGGCTACAGATCCCTGGGCCAAGGAGCAGAGGCTGAGGCACTGGGGTGGCTGGTGTATCGGTGCTCCAGGCCTTCTCCTTCTCCCTGGCTTTGGCCGCTTTTGCGCATGCACCTCGTCATGCCATCCATGCCAGTCACACTCTGGCCACATGTGGCACTCTCCTGTCCTGCTGTGTGGTGGTGATGGGATTCCGGTGGTAGGTATAGGACTGGGGTCTTCTACCACCAAAAAGGGAAGTTGTGGCCTGGGGGAGGAGCAAGGGGCGACTGACTGTTCTAATAGCCCCCCCTTGCCCTGCACCTCAATCTCTTACAGCAGCAATCCCCGTGGCTGTGTGTCAGGGACTTAAAATTCAAATATGTCAGCTGTGTGCTGATTCCCCAGAAATGCACTCTTTGTCCAAGGATGGAGTCTTCGCTTTAGAATCAGGAGAAGCAGAGAGGTAGCTCTCGAGGGGTACTCTGTTATAACGGCTAAGCCAGGGAAAGCTTTTCCCGCCTTGGGACCCCCAGTGACAGGCATCCTGACCCTTCACTCTAAGCAACCTGCTTCTCAGCAGGGTTTTCCTTGGGCTGAGGTCAAGGCTGCCCAGGCCCATGAAGCCTGGGCTGTAAAAATGAACTTCAGACGACACGCACACCTGCATAAGAACATATAGCTACAAGACTGGGGGAGGTACAGCCCCCCTTGTAGCCCGCCCACTTACGCAATCCCACGTATGTCCCTGAGAACTGAGGAGAAAAGCAGTACCTAGGAACTGTGATGTAGACTCGAAAGCTGTGGTTCCCACAGTGGCTGATGCAAGCAGCCAGCCCATCCTGGCCTGGATTCCGGGGCCTAGAAGTCTTTAATTAGCCAAAGTCAACACCTGCCGAGGTGTGCCTGATGAATTCTCACTCTGTGATGCCCGCGTGGGCAGGCGTTACTTGATGCACCATCCTCCTGAAGCTGTCCCCCTTCCATCCCCCCACAAAACAAACAAGCCTCAGAGCAGTGAGTGGCCCGAGCCAGGCCATCAGTTCACTGCCCAGGCCTATACTGCAGTCATGACCAAGGCCATTCTGATGACCTGTCCAAGGGCTCGTTGCTCCCCCTACCCTAAGGCTTTATCGTTCTTGAAGGTGAAGCCTAATAGAGCTCCCTCATTCTGTCATCAGCTCTAGTCTAGCCTCACAGGACCCCTAGATGTGAGGGGGCAATGTGGTCCTGGGTGAGGGTGCTTTGTCCATGTTGCACTACGGGACTGATCCAGGTCAGGGGACAGTCCGTGGGACTGGCTCTGCTGGCAGCTTTCCTTAACCAGGGTTCTCTCAGGAGTTAACCCTGACTCCTTGACACAAAGGAAAGAAGGAGACATCCAAGGAGGGTAGGTGCTGTAAGAGACAACTGGCAGCCTCAGGAAATATCTGAGGTCTCCTTTATAGGGTCAAAGCTAGTCTCCATTCTGGGGCTTTGGTCCTGAAACCTGCCTTCACTGAAGCACAGATCCTGACTTAGCCTTTAAGGCCCTGGAGGGTTTGTCTTTAGTCTACCCTCACCACCTGCTGATACCAGCCCCTCAGAGCCTATATCCATGCTGGGCCCTCCGCCTAAGGCTCTCTTCCTCAATTCACACCTTGGAACTCCTATTGGAAATTTAGGCCTGGCTACACCATCTCCTCCAGGAAGCCTCCCTTGATAACTCCCTTCCCTAACTCCCTCCCCCAACACACACACACACTGCCATTGTTTTGGATGGAAACTGGGTTTTATGCATGCCTGGGAAAGACTCTACCACTTAGCTACATCCCTAACCTGACCCCCCCACACACACACACCTTTTTTAAAGTCCCAGAAGACTGTGTTGCAGGACATTTAGGGTGGTGGTTGTGGGGAGAGGTAATGGAACATGGAAGAGTGTTTGTTACCTCTACTAGAATGGAGATCACTTAAGGACAAATATTCAGCATCCTTCCTGGGATCTCAGGGCAGTCTGAGACCCAGCAATGACTGCTTATGAATAATAGCCACCAGGCCCCAAAGACTGTAGCTCCACATCTTGAAAGGGAACAGGGGGGTCCAGAGCCAGCACCTTAGGCACATCCTATAGCCATTCCATGGACTTCATCTTCCTGGAGGCAGAGCCAGGCTGCTTGGTACCCTGATGACAGCAGAACAGAGCCCTGGGCACACCAGCCCAGGCAAGCCCCGGGGGGCCTCTGTCATTATGGCAGAAACTGTTGCTTGGCCTAGACTGCTGACACAGCACACTCCAAAGGCTTGTCCCGGCTTGCCCAGGGTGCAGACCAAGCGAGGGCAACCTACTGAGTACCAGGGGCGCTCTGGAGGGATTTTTGGAGACCTGGCAGTGGTACCTTCTACCTAGGTGCGATCTTGGGAGGGGTGGTGATGGCGGGGATTAGCAGAGGGGCAGCATGGAGGCAGCCTAGGGAGAGAAAGATGATGTAGCGAAGAGAGGTCCACACTGTCTGGCTCCTGAGTGGGTGGGCTGGGAGGATAAGGGGCTCAAACCCAGCAACCAGGGAGACAGATGTAGGTTATGGTGCCAGGTGCAGAGTCCCAGGGCTGAGGTATTCGAGGTCTGAGCTCTGGGCAAAGCAGTGGATGAGGTACTCCAGTGAGTGTAGGAGGACAGATGTCTACATGGTGCAGGGGACATGTAGATGGATCCTGCGTGCTTGTTTGAGCTTCTTGTAGCTTCCCACTTCAAAGCCGACCTGAGACCGTTAGAGGCTGGAGTAGGGAAAGGGTTCGGAGCTGGATTTGGGATACCCTGCTCTGCCTCAGGCCCAGGCCCTGACTATCCTGCCTGGCACAGACACCCCTTTCTGGTTTCCATTCTGGCTCAGCCCCCCTGCTGGCCACTCTGGCCTTTAGGATGTCCTGACAGAGCCCGGTTCACTTTGCCCAGACATCTTCTGGGCACCGTAGGTAACCCTTGGCCCCAGTGATGGGAGAGTGGCCAGTGAGTTGTCTGGGCAGTGCTCAGCGGGGAGTAAGGAAGCTGGATCTTTTGCAGTCCCGCTGAGCCAAGCTCAGAGAGAGAAGGACCCAGCAATGTCCTAGGCTCCTCTTCAGACAGCCAAGCCCTGAGCTCCTGGCCCAGGGAAATGAGGGCTCTCTTTAGAGGATGGCTTGAATGGCAGGCCCTGAGGATTAGGGGCCCCTGGCAAGAGAGTCAATGCTAGAAGGAAAGCATGGTCCTGAGGCCAGGACTGTGAGGAGCGTGAAGACCAAGTGGCCGAGAGAACTATGCCCTAGGACATCCATTTCCTGGAAGGGCCCCTGAGGGCCTTTCACCACAACCAGGCTGGATAGGCCCAGGTGTCCAGCCCCAGCACCGCCTCAGGCCTCCTGGCTCTGGAGGGGGCATCCTCTGCGCCTGCTGTCCACAGTGCCAGCTCTCAGCCCACAGAGGGCCCTTTGTTCTGACTGCCAACAGAGCCCGCCGGGCAGCTGGGAACAGGGCCCATAGCCCTCACCCTGTCCCAAGGCCTCCAGCCATCAGGCAATGCCATTCTAGGTTGGCCAGGAGGCCCCTGGCACACAGGACCAGTTCAGGAAACTGTGTCCCGGGACTACTGTGAGGAAGGGGTTCACTCCAAGATGCACATGCAGAGTGGAATCGGGACTCCACTGCAAAAACAGCATTCAGGGCTTCTGGTGCCACTCAGCTATGGGCCCAGATCATCCAAATGATGACCCTGGCTAAAACTTGCTTGGACTGGTCTATATAGGGGACTTGTACTTTATGAGTTGTCCCATCGGGGTGTCCTAGGAGTTCAGGTGTCCACGCTCTACTCTATACCCCAAGGGCAGATCCAAGGAAGAGACAGGTTCCAGGGAGCATTCCTGTGGCTGTCTGTCCCGAGTGACCCTCTCAAAGGTGTACTGCAGCCACTGGCTTCACGTGGGAGACTAGACCATGACCCACCCCAGAGTTAACCAGAACTGACTACTCCACAGACATCTGACTGTGCCGGTGTGAGAACAGTGCCCCTTGGGTGGTCTCTGAGCCATGGAGATACCCCGACAGACAGAGATGGTGGAGCTGGTGCCCAACGGCAAACACTTGGAGGGGCTTCTACCAGTGGGCGTGTCCACAACAGACACACAGAGGTATGTAGAAGAGGTGCCGGGTGGCAGCTCAGGGAAGCGCTGGGCAGAGGCACCGGACACAGGGATGGAGCTGAGTCACGTGTTCTGGCCTCCTCCTGCAGGGCTGAAGACCTCCAACACTGTGCAGAAGGCAAGGGCTTCCTGCAGAAAAGCTCCAGCAAGGAGCCACACTTTACTGACGTGAGCTGGGCAGCAGGAGGGATTTGGGGGACTGTAGGGAGTTTGGACACAGTGATGACGTGCTCTGGGGCAGCAACGGGAGGCTGAGAGACAATGAGAGAGAATGCCACAATGACCCACTTTTTGTTGGTTTCCCCTCATTTCCCCACCCCACTTTGGTACCTGCAGTTCGAGGGGAAGACATCATTTGGGATGTCCGTGTTCAACCTCAGCAATGCCATCATGGGCAGCGGCATCCTGGGGCTCGCCTACGCCATGGCCAATACTGGCATCATCCTTTTCCTGTAAGTGCCTCTGCAAACAGCCCTCAACAGCTGCCAACCATGACCTCCCAGGACCTTCCAGTTCACTACCCAGTGGGTGGGCACGTCTTATTCTGCACCCCGTCCACTGTTGCAAAAACATCCACAGCCAGACAAACACACCTCACTGTTCTTCAGAGCCACAAGGCCAGCCCTACAGGCCTGAGTCTGTTCTCCTGCGTTTACACGCGATGGCTGAACCCTTGTGGCCAGGCCTTGTGTGGCCACATGTGTCCTTCATTTGGTGGCTCTGCCCTGAAGCCTGAATGGAAAACATGTTTGTCCCAAAGGTGCTCAGAGCACAGGCACGGGGCGCTCTTGACCCAGAGGCCCCCACTTGGGTCAAAGAGAGTAGTGTTACTATCTCTGGAGTCTCCTGACTTGCTCCAGCTCCTCAGACGCTGACGTCACAGACTCCTTCCTCCCATCCTCCTCGAGCTCATCATTCCCTGCTACCCAACCTTCAATGGCCCCTTTTCCCCCATGTTCTCCAGGTTCCTTCTGACAGCTGTTGCCCTGCTGTCTAGCTACTCCATCCACCTGCTCCTCAAGTCTTCGGGGATCGTGGGTGAGCCTCTTGCAGGCCTACAGAGGGGCAGGGCTGAGGTGAACTGGGGGAAGCTCTCCTGGCTAGCCTGACATCCGGTTTCTGCAGGCATCCGCGCCTACGAGCAGCTGGGCTACCGTGCCTTTGGGACTCCGGGGAAGCTGGCAGCAGCCCTGGCCATCACTCTGCAGAACATTGGAGGTGAGGCTGGTGGGAGGGGGCAGTGGGATGCAGAATGACCTGGTTGGTTCAGCGGACCTCACAACTGTCGCCCTGCCCCCTCCTCCAGCCATGTCCAGCTACCTATACATCATCAAGTCTGAGTTGCCTCTTGTCATACAGACCTTTCTGAATCTGGAGAAGCCAACCTCGTGAGCCTGGGGAACAAGGGTGGGAAGCAATGGGTGTCCAGCTAGCCTGATAGATAAGGAGAGCAGAGAACTGCAAACAGAGCCTCGTTTGGCTCCTGTTTATGTGTGGAACATCCAGGGAAACCCCCAAGCGGGAACTTTTAGAGCTAGAAGGCTAGGGTCCATGTGATCCAGGACCCTGCACATGAGCAGAAGGGCCTCAGGCTTATCTCTAAGCACCTGCTATTCCTGACCATGGGGTCACCCCCCCCCCCCGCCACTACCAAGAGATTAAGCCCAGGGCATGTGTGGGTGCCTACTACTTAGCCAGCACAGGCTGGGCACCAACCTTGCCTTGTGTTTGAGGGGGAGGGAGGAGAAAGAAGTTAACCCTGCTCCTGACCACCCAGTGCCCGTAAGCAACGGGGCCACGTGACTGAGGACGGTCCTGAGAGGCGAGAAAGAATTAGGATTCTGTAACTAGGGTTCCAGGGACCTTTCCCAAGGAATTTGCCTTTGAATTTGTTCTAGAAAAATGAATGGTCCTGGTCCTTTTACCTTTATCTATGCCCCGTGTTCATTTCCAGGAAAGAGGAGGGCCAGAATAATACAAGATGCAGGTGGCAAGAAAGGCCACAAGGGCCACAGGTTATTGGCAAGTCCCTGAGAAACCCAAGAAAAACAGACCCTTCCTGAGCCAGGTCCTCTGACCCTACCACCTCCCTCCGGAGGGTGGGCCCAGATCTATGTGTGCTTGGAAAACACTACCAGCCACTGCACTCGTAAGGGGATTCACATAAACTGTGTCCCAGTCCAGCTTACACCCTCAGGAGTGTGACAGTGAGCTCCCCGTTTAAGATAAAGCTCAGGGAGACTTAGGTTCCGGTTAAATGTTGGTCATAGGACACAGTGTGGTATCACTGGTGTCTCCAACAGGGAAGAGTAGGAGGCCCCACTCCAGGCTGAGGTGGTTCTGACTGTGCTCTCCCACTCTTATCCCTTCAGGGTGTGGTACATGGATGGCAACTACCTTGTGATCCTGGTATCTGTCACCATCATTCTGCCCCTAGCCCTAATGCGGCAGCTTGGTGAGTCAGCAGGGTGAGCCGGTAGAGGGTTGTGGAGGGACACCCGGGACCTGAGTCTCACAGTTCCCTCCTTGGCAGGCTACCTAGGCTACTCCAGTGGTTTCTCTCTCAGCTGCATGGTGTTCTTCTTGATCGCAGTGAGCCACCCTCCATGTTGGTCAGGAAAGAGCAGAGGCCCAAGGGAGTCCCCGGGGGAGGGGGGAAGGGGGAGCAGGGCTTCTTGGGAAGCCAGAGTGAGGAAGCAGTTCTTCTAACTTAATGTGGCTTCATGGTGACTTTGCAGGCAGCTTAGCCCAACACTAGCTCTCTCGCTCGCCCTTCCCCACCCCAGGTCATCTACAAGAAGTTCCAAGTTCCCTGCCCATTGGCGCACAGCTTGGCCAATGCCACAGGCAACTTCAGCCACACGGTGGTACTGGAGAAGGCAGAGCTACAGGACGAGCCTGAGGCTGCAGCCTTCTGTTCCCCAAGCTACTTCACACTCAACTCACAGGTTCCAAGAGGCCAAGCCAGGCCAGGGAAGTGGGGAGAGGGTCTTGAGGAAAGGGCTGCCTTGACATAGTTCTATGTGTCTCCAGACAGCGTACACCATCCCCATCATGGCCTTCGCCTTCGTCTGCCACCCTGAGGTGCTGCCCATATATACAGAGCTGAAGGAGTAGGTGTCTGTGGTGGGAGAGGGAGGGTGGCTGCCTTGAAGGTCTGGAGAGAATAGATGTGTATTGGATAAGTGTCTGGAGGGAGAGGGGATCAGACCTAGGTCACCAGACCAAAGGTCTCCATGGTTGATAAGAGTGGGCATTAGGATCCAGGCAGTGGTGGTGTACACCTTTACCCCCAGCACTCAAGAGGCAGAGGCAAGTAGATCTTTGTGAGTTTAAGGCCAGCCTGGTCTACAATGTGAGTTCCAGGACAGCCAGAGCTATTACATGGAGAAACCCTGCCTCAAAAAGACAAAAAAAAAAAAACAAGAGCAGGAATTAGGGGCAAGAAGGAAGGAGACTTTCTCACTGCTGAAGGGAGAAGGTGGCACCAGGGACCCTCAGGTATATACAGTTATCACAGGGTGGCTCGGCTTGTCACCAAACCCCCTTTTACTGTCTGCAGCCCCTCCAAGAAGAAGATGCAACACATCTCCAACCTGTCCATTGCTGTCATGTATGTCATGTACTTCCTGGCTGCCCTCTTCGGCTACCTCACCTTCTATGGTATGGCTGGGTCAGCATGGGTGGAATCAGAGGCCAGGCTGGGAGGCAAGGGCTGGTCAGTGGCCATAGCGTCCTGAATACTGTAGGCACTCACTAGATGTGTGATGCCTGACTATGTCCTGCAGCTGTGGAGGTGAGTCTGAGTGCCACTCCCCACAGTGTCAGGGTCCACCGCCCCCTGGCCTGCTGACCACCCTCCCTGCCTGCCACAGACGGGGTGGAGTCGGAGCTGCTGCACACCTACAGCAAGGTGGACCCGTTTGACGTGCTGATCTTGTGTGTGCGCGTGGCTGTGCTGATAGCTGTCACACTTACAGTGCCAATCGTTCTGTTCCCGGTGAGCCAGCGGACAGGTGACTGGGCTGGTGGAAGGAAGGGTCCAATGGGGGCCACCGGACTGATGATGACTCTCCCCACCTGCCCAGGTACGGCGCGCCATCCAACAGATGCTGTTTCAGAACCAGGAGTTCAGCTGGTTGCGGCACGTGCTCATCGCCACTGGCTTGCTTACTTGCATCAACCTGCTCGTTATCTTTGCCCCCAACATCTTGGGCATCTTTGGAGTCATTGGTGAGTCTGGCCCTACTGGACAAATGGGGTAGTCAAGCTAGCTCTTTGTCACTGTAACATAACACCTGAGGCAATTCACTTATAAAGACACAATGCAGGGCTGGTGAGATGACTGGGCGAGTAAGGATGCTTGCCATCAAGCCCTGACTACTTGAGTTGGATCCCAGGAACTCACATGGTAGAAGAAGAAAACCGACTCTTACAGGCTGTCCTCTGACCTCCATGTGTGTTCAGTGAGACAAGGTGCAGCTACATGAGTACACATATACAATATGTAATACATATACAATAAATGTAAAAAATTAAGATTAAATAAAAAGAGAGAAGAGGTTCAGGAGCTGGGGACATAGCTTAATTAGTAGGGGGTTTGCCTAGCGATGTGTGCATGATGCCCAGGGTTAGAGTCTAGCGGTGCCTAAACAAGGAATTGTGGCACGTGCCTATATTCCCAGCATTGAGAAGCAGAAGCAAGAAAACCAGGAGTCCAAGGTCATTCTTGGCTTTATAGATTGAGGCTATCCTGGGATAGCCTTGTCCCCAGACATACAAACAGGCTTACTTTGGCTCATACTTTTACACATTCGAGCTGTGATTAACTGGTGCCAACTGATTTGAGGGCTGTAGTGGGATAATCCATCATGATTTAAGTGAGAGGCAAAACAAAACTGCTTACCCCGTGGCCAAAAACTAAAAGGGAAAGAGGAGCAGACCAAAGCCTTAGGATTCCCTTAAGGGGCTCATACCCAAGCACCTCCCACAGCCCAGCCTTCACCTCCTAAAGGTTTGCCCTTCCAAACAGCTCCAACCTGAAATTCCCCAACTTGAACTTCCCAACTTGGGCCTTCCACAAGCATTCAAGATCCGAATTACAACAACCTGTCTTAGCAGCCCAGGATCCTGGAGGCTTTATTCTGTAACAAGTTTCTTTTCTTTATTGTTAGCTTCATTCAGTTATATTTTCCTGGCCCACCAACGCCATCAGCCTCGCAGCCTGGTGGATAGAGGACATGCAGGAAAGGCTGGTGGGCTCCCCTAGAACCAGGCAGAGCTCTCACAACATAGAGTGCAACTCCCCCCATAAAGAAGGCTTGATCTCACTGCGAGTCCACCTAGATCTTGGCCAAAGGGCAACTGAGCCAGCTGTTGCTATGCTCTGATTTCTGCAGGCGCCACATCTGCTCCGTGCCTCATATTCATCTTCCCCGCCATCTTCTACTTCCGAATCATGCCCACTGAGAAGGAGCCTGCAAGATCCATCCCTAAAATCCTGGTGCGAGGGGCCTGGGGGCCGGTAGAGGAGGGCAGGGCTGAGGGAACTGTGCTCATCTCAGGCCTCTCTCCTTTCTGCCCCTCAACAGGCCCTTTGCTTCGCTGCCGTCGGCTTCTTGCTGATGACCATGAGCTTGAGCTTCATCATCATCGACTGGGTCTCAGGGACCAGCCAGCATGGAGGACACCATTAGGATGGCTCCCATCTTGCTCTGTCTATTCATCCTAGCATCCCGCCCTCACTCTCCAGCCCCTGCTCCCAGCCAGGGGGTCAGTAAGGGGAGAAAGACACTGTAAATACTCTGGCATTTGGCTCCACCCATATCCTCTCCGTTGGAAGGTTTTTGTTGAAGAGCCAGGACCAAGGCCCTTGGACCACCCCCCTGCTGGGCTCCAGAGCTGCAGGGGCTTCCTGAGCTAGGAACAGGGTGGGGCTGAGGCCTCAGATCCCACCGAAACCCTCCATCCTGCTCCCACAGCTGTGTACACTGAGGCCCAGCAGCCACCTCCTGAGGTCACACAGGCTGTGGGGGCACATGGAGCCAGAAGCCAGGCCTGAAGACATCCCCCAGCCCTGCCAGGCAGCCATAGGCTACACCCACAAGGCCCATCTACCCCAGCCTGCTGATCTCCCATGCCCTTCTCCAACACTTGGGCCCAAAATCCAGGATACTCTTGTCCTTTTCTTGAGTCTCCTTCCTAGGAGGAGACCCTATCCTACCCCGTATCTGGGGTTGGTATGTAACCCACGGGATCCCTGCTGTGGACCTTCACCAGTCCTGGGGAGGCTGGGACTCCCACACCTCAAGCCTGGGCCATGACTTACATTCCACTGCTGGGAGAAGGGAGGCTGGGCCCAGAGAGTACCCTGCCCTTGGGAATCAAAGACCCCAGCAGCCAGACTGGCACACAGATGGGGAGGCTGGCCTTTTATAAATATTATACGTAAGACCAATTGTGTTTTATATTCTTGTTCTCCACAGTCCTCAGGGTTCTGGAAAATGGGGTAGGGGTCAGTAAGGGTATGAATGGCACTGGGGTTCTCCTGTCTGCTTGCCTGCATGAGAGTGGGGGCTGAGCAAGACCCCCTACCCCCACCCCACCTTCTGTCTCTCAGACCAACCAGAGGCACGCTCAGACCCAGCTCTGGGCTGGGGCCAAGTTCAGCACAGACCTGCTTTCTCACGGGGTGAGGTGGGGAAGAATTAATGAGGCCCCAGGAAATGGGACAGAGAGAAGCTTGCGGAAGGAGGCAACGTGAGGTGCATCCCCAGCAGCTCCAGACAGGGTCTGAGCTGGGGGCAGCTGAGTCTTGCAGAAACCTCAGGAAAGGGCCCCTGAAGTCCACCAGCTCCCAGGCTGCTTGCCAACCCTGTGTCAATGCCTTGAAGCTGGAGGAAAAACTTCAGGGATGCTTTCCGTGCAGGACTATTCTTTTTATTGATGATAAACACCTCTATGATAAAGGTAGGGTAGCGAATCAGTGGACTCCAGGTAGCCCTGAGTGGCTAAGGGAGAAGGAAGTTCAAGGCAAGGCAGGGACTTCAAGGAGGCCGGGCAGCCCCAGGTATCCTGGCCCAAGTGGGACTGGGAAGCTGCCCAATGCAGGCCTGAGTCAGCTACAGCCCAGAGGGATGGAAGTGCCCAGGCCTTGGCACTAAACCCTCATTAGGAAAGACCCTGCACCAGCCTAGGCCACCAGCAAAAGGACAGCAAGAAAAATCCAGTTTGAAGTTGAAAGACAACTGCCCTTGGGAAAACCCTGAAGAAAGAACTTCTTCAAGCTGGTGGCTGCGTGGACCACAGCCGTGCCAGCCAGCAGAGGGGAGACCATCGGTCCTAGGTGCCTGACTTCAACCAGCAGGCCCTGTGGACACCGGCCTAGCAGTAGATACAACCTGAGGGACACTGTCAGGAGGAACTGTCCCCTGAGGGTCACCGGACTCTTCTCCATTAGATGAGGCACAGTCTTTCTTGCCTGGATTTCCTGGCTCAGGGGGGGAGTGAGGGATAATGGAGGGTAGAGTCTACCCTGCAAGCAGCCCCCTGAGCCTTTTTACATCCTCTGTTCAAAGGAGGACACAGGACAGCACAGCAATGGGACAGCAGCCAAGGCTTTGGGCTTCTCTGACCAGATGTGATAACAGTAGCTCCCATACAGAGCCAGGGTGTGCAGGGGTCCCTCACCCCAGAGCTCTTCTCTGCATGCTCAGCCTGATCATGGGTGGCGGGCTCCAATAGGAACGGGGCAAGAGATGTAGGCCCTGTACTAAATTCCAGACCCATGGACCCACAAGGCTGTGAAATGAGTATCCCCATCACTTGTGGCCAAGTCCAGGGACATGGTGACTCAGATTCCATAAGGATGGGCCGTAGCCCTTGGGACATCATTATGGATTATCATATGTTCGAATAGCTTCCTATATTTTTTCTCTTCTTTATGCTTTCTGAGGGGGGAAAAAAAAAACATTTATTATGTATAGTGTTCTCTTGCCTGTGGCCAGAAGAGGGCACCAGATCTGATTACAGATGGTTGTGAGCCACCATGTGGTTGCTGGGAATTGAACTCAGGACCTCTGGAAGAGACCTCTAGAAGAATAGCCTAACCTCGGAGCCATTTCTCTAGCCCCCCAATAATGTGCTCAGGATAGAGTACTTGTCGAGCATGTGTGAGACCCTTAGTTCAACTTACAGCAAGCACACTCATGCATAGGTCTGGGAAATATTTGTTCTGTTTGAAATATTTATGTTAGAGCACCCCAAAAGTCTAGCACATGTGCCATTTGTATTTCCTTCACTTTTCTTTCTTTTTTCTGATGAGGGATGGAAGATAAGATCTCACCATGTAGCTCAAGCTAGACTCAAACTTCCAGTCCTCCCCCTCAGCGGTGGGATTACAGGAGTGTGCCTCTATGCCCAACACTCATTGCTTTTCATTGTTTTCTAATGACTGCTTGTCATAGAAAAATAAGATATACACTTAGCACTGGATAGGGCAGGAAGACTACAACTCTAAATCCAGCCTGGGCTATATAGTAAGACCAAAAAGGGACTGGAGAGATGGCTCAGTGGTTAAGAGCACTGGCTGCTCTTCTAGAGGTCCTGAGTTCAATTCCCAGAAACTACATGGTAACTCACAGCCATCTATAATGAGATATGGTGCTCTCTTCTGACATGCAGACATTCATGCAGGTAGAACACTGAATACATAATAAATAGATAAATCTTGAGAGAGAGAATCCAAAAAGATAATACAGATCAGGAAAATATATTCGTCCCTCACTGCCCAGCAGCTGGCCTTGCCCACATCTCCTCAACCATGTGTACAGTCCCTGTCATCTGAAAAAATGAGCTACCCGTTCATTCTCCAAGGTTTTTGTTTTGTTATTGAGGTGTTGGATATCGAACCCAGGGTCCCATGCATGTTAGCCGAGTATTCTACAATAGAGCTCTATTTCTAGTCCTATTTCTGGGGAGGGTGGTGAGGGTCAAACCTAGGGACTCACATATCAGGCCCAGGGTCTTCTACCAAGTTATGTTGAAGTCATCCCCCAAAAAAGTATTTATGGAGACTTTTCACAAACACTCTTTTTATTTTTAGTTTTTGGTTTTTCAAGGCAGGGATTCTCTGTGGCCACAAACATTCTTTTTGCTGTCGCTGCTGTTGTTGTTTTGAGACAGGGTTCCTCTGCTAGCACTGGCTGTCCTGGGACTCGTTTTGTAGGCCACACTGACCTCAAACTCAGAGATCTACCTGCCTCTTCCAACTACTGGGGTTAAATGCACGCGCCCTGCTACCACCACCTGGGTGCCAAACACTCCTACACGACAGTGAACAAGGGGGAAGGCACCTTTAGCACACAGGCATTAAACATGACCACTGTTATCTCACTTAGTGCTAGCAGGGAATGGTGGCGCACTTTTAATCCCAGCACTCAGGAGGCAGAGGCAGGTCTCAGAGTTCAAGGCCAGCCTGGTTGACAGAGTGAGGTCCAGGACAGCCAGGCTACATAGTGAGACCATGTCTCAAAACAACACCGAAGATAAATTAATAAAAATAAAGAAGATGGGGCTGGAGTGATGGCTCAGCAGTTGGGAGCAGCGGCTGCTCTTCCAAAAGCCCTGGGTTTGATTCCCAGCACCTACACTGCTGCTTACAGCCATCTGTGACTCCAGCTTCAGGGCAGCTGACACCCTTACACAGACACACATGCAGGCAGAACGCCAATGTACATTAGAAAAAAATGATAATGGGTCTGGAGAGGTGACTCAGTGGTCAAGAGCACTGGCTGCTCTTCCAGAGGACCTGGGTTCAGGTCCCAGCACCCACATGGCAGCTCACAACTGTCTGTAATTCCAATTCGAGGGGACCTGACACCCAATGGCAAAACACCAATTTACATTACATTATTATTATTATTAAAAGAAAGAAAGAAGATGAGCCAGGAGTGGTGGCACACACCTTTCATCCCAGCACTTTCGAGGCAGAGGCAGGCGGATCTCTGTGAGATGGAGACCAGCCTGGTCTACAGAGTGAGTTCCAGGACAGCTAAGCCCACACAGAGAAACCCGGCCTAAAAAACAAAACAAACAAACAAACAAATAAATAGAAGATGCTTAGTACTGGAGAAACCAAAAACATTAAAAGACAGGTGATGGAGAGAGGGGCCGTGAGGTGGGCTGGGGTAGCCTCGCTGAGGACGGACTTCCCTTCTGAAATTCATAAGAAACCATGTGGAAATGTCCAGAGAGCATGCAGGAGATTGTTCTAGTCAGCAGGACCAGACAATGGAAAGCCCTGAGGTCCTCCTGCCCTACATAGGAGGGACAGGCAGGAGGTCCCTGAGGCTGGGCCTGGGGGAAGCAGAGGGAAGCGTCCAGTGGGCACTGAAGAGGGGGAAGAACTCTGGGCCGTCCTGCCGCAGGATGTTTGGGCTTTTTGCAGCATGAGAACAATGCCAGGCCCTGAAATGAAAGGGAGTAAGATCTGATTCAGTGCTAACTCTCAGGGCTTTTAGTTTTCTTTGTTTTGCTTTGCTTTTTGTTTCTTTTGTTTGTTTTGCTTTCTGTTTGGGGCTGTTTTTTTTTTTTTTTTTTTTTTTAGACAGGGTTTCTCTGTGTAGTCCTGGTTGTCCTGAAACTCATTCTGTAGATCAGGCTGCCCTTTAACTTACAGAGATGCACCTGCCTCTGAATGCTGGGATCAAAGGCATGCACCACCGTGCCTGGCTGGTTGGTTGCTTTTTGTTGTTTTGTTTTAAGCAGACAATACTATTTATCTGTTTGCTTCTAATGTGCTAGGAAGTGTAAGTGTTGCATAGATCACTCCAGCTGCTGAACTGAGAGATGGCTCAGAGGTTTAGAGTCTGTACCACTATTCTAGAAGAGCCACTAAGTTTGGTTCCCAGCATCCACATCAGGGGGCTGACAACTGCCCGTAACTCCAGCTCCAGGGTTCCAAAGCCTCTGCCCTTCTTAGGCATTTGCATCCATGTATTCATATACATATTTTTTAAGTTTAAGAAATGAAATGATAAAAGAAGGAAGAAAGAAATGAAGATAGATGAGAAAAGGACTACTGAGAAGAATAGAAATGGAAGAGTTGAGCTGGGTGATGGATGAGCTGGAGCTGGTAAAGGATGCTGGAGAGTCTGAGCTAGGAGACAGTAACAGAGTGGGTGATGACCGGAAACCAGAGAATGCATTTGATGTGGCTGGAAACCTGACCAAGTACAGTAGCCAGTACACAGTGACTCCCAGATGAGCTCTTCCAGTAAGGAGTATGTGGGAAGACCCTGAAGGGACACATTCAGGAGTCTGCCTTGACCCCAGTGTAAAGTCTAAGCAACTGACTTTCTTTCGAACAGCTTACAGCAGTGGTACTTGATTAGTGAGTGACAGAAAGAACAGCCCCGAAAGAAAATCTGAAAGAACAAAAGTACTTTCAGGGA